CCCTCCAAGTAATGTTCAGCAACTACAGTTGCCGCGATTTCTCCAATTGCCACTGATCTGACCGAAAACTTCTGCTGACCGTCAAAGGCAAAGTACAAGGTGCCATGATTGGATCTAACGCCATGAAAATGAGAGTATAGGCATAAGAGCACGAAGAGGAATACTACTACTGATAGTAATGCTAGCAATAATAATGATAGCAATAACATTCACACCAGCACTAGCACTAACCCCAACACTAACACTAACACCAACACCAGCACTAAATAACAATCACAATAACAATCACAATAACACTAACAACATAGCAACAACATCAGCACTAAGAATAGCAATAGCAATTGCAATTGCAATTACGATAGCAACAAAAATACAATAATACCACTAATTACAACACCGAATAACGGAACTACACTACTACGAACAATACTAGTTGCCATCATAATCAGAAGAATTCGTAAGTTCAAGAAAGACACAATAAAACATGTAACTCCAGGGTTGGGACTTTAGGGTTTAGGAACCGTAGGCCCCGAAGACGTTCTTGCTCTGCTAGCTGGTTTGCATTCAACTTCTAAGCTAAAGTAGAAGCCAGAAAGTTGGAACATCGTTATCCTCATGCCCTTAAGGTTAAAGCATAGGGAATCCCAGCACTAATCATCCCAAATCCATGTTCCAACTTTCTGGAGTTCACTATATGTAATACCAGAGTCGAACACTTCGTACTGTTATCCCCCTCAGTCCCCGTACGGCTAATGTAAAGCCGCCATGGTTACACTAAAGTATGATGCTCTTTATAACTTTCCGGTTCCCCCCAAAAAAAGGAAGACGAGGAAATACACAGCCTCGAAACTGTGCTGGGTGTAGGATTTACGGAAAACTTTGCTTGTAAATTCAGTTCATGTTCATGCATAGCTGTAGCATCTGCCTGATAGTTCTTAACCTGAAGCCTAGTAACTCTCCAGCTGCTAGGCCGCGAACCCAAGCTCCATAAACCCTCCCCTAAGCCCTAAACCCTAAACCGAAATCCTGCAGGCGTAACTCCTATAGACCGTATGTAGCCTCAGCCCAAAGCAGTGGCAGGTGGCCCGTGTGAAGCAGCAAGTCGAAAAAAGGCCACAGACTGGTTTGCAGGATTTAGGATCCTACAGGTTAAGGGTTTTAGGACTTATAACCCTATAGGGTTTAGGGTTTAGGGTTTGTGTTTAGGGTCGCTTGTGAAGTATCACTTAACGCGATCCCCTAATAGCCTAATGGGGATAGCAAGTAGAGTCTGCCAACAGAAACTGATGGTTGGATGGCACGGCCTGCTAAGCATTTGCAAACGCTGGCAAGCCTCAGTAGAGCCCAGCAAGCCTTAGTGGGTTTGGTTTGTTCGTGAGGATTGCAAAGCCCTGCTACTGTGTAAGGCCTAGTAAGAATTAAAGGGCACACCATAGCGGCCCAACACCCACGAAAGGCTACTGGTTCAGGGCTTCAGCTCCTGTTATAAAGCCTAAAACAGAAATTATACAGAGAGTCCCGGCTACAATGTAGGTTTTGGTACCCCCAAACCCTAAATCCTGAACCCTAAACCCTGAACCCTGAACCCTAAACCCTGTACCCTAAACCCTGTACCCTAAACCCTGAATCCTTCAATGCAGGGATCAGGGTCGAAGCGGCTCAGTTCTCACCAACCC